CATTAAAGCAACTCCCTATTTCTCCAGCCCCCAACCCCTAGCAACTCCCATTCTATTTTGTGTCTCTAGACACCTATATAGGTAGATATAGTATTTGTCTCTTTGTGACTGGCTTGTTTCACTTAGCATAACATCCTCAAGGTTCATCCATGTTGTAGCATGACTCAGAATTTCCTTTTTTTTTTTTTCAGTGGTACTGCGGGTTGAACTCAGGGTCTCAAGCTTGCTAGGCAGGTGCTCTACCACTTGAGCTGCTCCTCTAAGCCCTTTTCTTGTGTGATGTTTATGTCTGTTTTGTTTTATGTCTGGGCCAATCTGGACTGTGCTCCTCCTGTTTGTGCTTCCCCACATATCTGGGATGACAGGCATGTACCACCTCACACAGCCACTGGTTGAGATGGATTCTTGAAAACCTCCCTTCCCCCTGGTCCCCCACTCTCACCTCGGCCCAATCTCTGCCTCCCAGGCTTGAGAATTACAGGCTTGAGCCCCTATGCCCAGCCAGAAATTTCCTTTTTAAGGTTTAATAATATTCCATTGTATATTTGTGCCCTGTTTGTTTATCCATCCATTTGTTGATGGACTTTTGAGTTACAGGTGTGGGCCACTGCACCTGGCCTTACTGTTCTGATTTTTTTGAGGTACCACCATGCTGTTTCCATAGTGATTGTAGCATTTTATTTCCTGTCAAAAATGCACAAGGTTCCAACCTCACCAGCACTCATCATTTTCTTTGTTTTTAATCGTAGCCATCCTAATGGGTTCAAGGTGATATTTCATTGTGGTTTTTTGTTTTGATTTGTCTTTTTGGTCCTGGGGATGGAACCCACTGATCTAATGATCAGTGATATTGAGTATCTTTTCCCATGCTTGTTGGCCTTTTGTCTATCTTCTTTGGAAAATTGTCTGTTTAAGTTCTTTGGCTTTTTTTTTTCCCTTGGTACTGGAGTTTGAACTCAGATCTTTGTTTGTTTTGTACTTGAGCTGTGCCTCTAGCCCTATCCATTTTGAGTTGTTGTTAGTGCTGTGTTGGGCTATAGAAATTCTTTGTTCTGGATATTAACTTTTAATCAGATCATGATTTTCGGATATTATTTTCTGTTCCATATGTTGCCTTTGCACTCTGTTGCTCATGCTTTGTGATACATAGAGATTTTAACCTTTGACCCGGTCCGGTTTCTCTGTTTATACTTTTGATGTCATGTCCAAGGAGTCATTTTCAAATCCAGTGTCATGAGGCTTTTCTCCTTTACTTTCTTAAAGAATTTTATAGTCTCAGCTTTTGTTTTTAGGCCTTTGATCCACTTTGAGTTAATGATTGTGCATGGTACAAGGTGTTTGGTGAGTGGACATTCAGTTTTTCCAGCAACATTTGTTGGAAAGACTTTCCTTTCCCCAGGGAGTGGTCATGGCACTGTTGCTGGAAATCATCTGACCCTATGTGTGAGGGTTTGTTTCTGGCTTTGTATTACATTCCATTTGTCTACCTGTGTTTAAAGCAGCACCACAGAATTGATTGTAATCAATTTTGAAATAAGGAAGTGGGAGATCTCTAACTTTGTTCTTCAAGATTTTTTTTCTGTTCACAATCCCTTGAGATCCATATGAATTTTATGATGGAGCTTTCTATTTCTTCAAAAATAAAAAAAAAAGAAGCTGTTGGGAGATGTTCATAGGAATTGTGTTAAATTTGTAGATTGTGTTGGGTAGTAATATTGGCATCTTGACACTATTATGTTTTCCAGTCCACAAACATGGGATGTATTTCCATTTATTTGTGCTTCTTTAACTCACCAAATGCTTTTGAAGCTAAAGAATATGACATCAGTGCTATTTGAACACACGAGAAGTAAAATATAATCTTTTCTACCTTACGGTCAGTTTTTATTGAGAACATCATTGTAAAGGAACAGAAGTATGAATAATTTATCAACAGGTGATCAAAAACAGCACTTGTGTATTTGACTTTCAAATGCGTTCGTGGGCCATTCTGAATTACACTTTGCCCTTGCCCGTATTAGTGTGAGTTGCATCTGGATACTGGATTTTCAAGCTGTGCTCCTGGGAGCTGGTGGAGTCTGAAGGCCAGGGAAGCCAAGTATGTAGCGTGGTGCCCACATCCCTGCTTCATCCAGGACTTCTTTTTTTCTGTTTTTGGTACTGGGGTTTGAACTCAGGCCTGCACTTCACCAGTTCTTTTTTTGTGATTTTTTTTTTTTTTTTTTGAGATAGGGTCTTTTGAACTATTTGCCAGGGCTGGCTTCGAACTGTGATCCTCCTGATCTCTGCTTCCTGAGTAGCAAGGATTATAGGTATGAGCCACAGGCACCCAGCTCAGAACTTCTGTTTGTTAGTACAATGCGCTCCATGCAAGATTTCATTTGGGGTTGGGGAAGGAAATAAAAATGGCAGGGGATTTCTTAGTTACTGTATGGTGATTTTTCTCATTTTGACTGATACTATTCTGTAAAGATGAGCTTTCCAGTCCCTCCAGTGATATAGCCAAATATAATGGTGTTCTCTCTCTCTCCCTCCCTTTCTCACAGCTCCTAATTATGAAAGAGTATCAGTTAATAAATGTTGAAGAGAGCTGTGGACATGGCTCAAGCAGTAGAGCACCTGCCTAGCAAGCACAGGCCCTGAGGACCACCAAATAAAAAAGAAAACGTTGAGGAGATGAGAGAGTTAGGAAATCGTAGTTTTGTGTTATGTTATTAGTTTCTTTCTTTCTTCTTCATTTTTTTCTTTTTTTGCAGTTTTGCAGAACTGGGGTTTGAACTAGTTTCTACTTGAAAAACTATAATCAAGGAGCACACAGCGGGCTGCAGGCTCACCCAGTGTTGTGGCTGTGCGAAGCTTGTCCTCTTTTAACACAGCTTCTCTTGCTTCCTTGTTCTGCAGGGATGCCCTGGGGAAGTGCTTCTTCCTGCGAGTGGAAACCACTCTGCGAGGAGCTACGTACAGGATCTCCTTTAGTGACACAGACCAGTTGCCCCCTCCTTTTCGAATTGACAACTTTTCCAAGGTACCAAGTGTTGAGAGCCAGCTGTGCTTCTTCACGTGTGGGAGGGTGGAGGTAGTGGGGCAGTGGTGCTCCAAAGAAGCTTCCCAGGCTGTCCATGGCTTGACCACCCCGGAAGTCACGACCACTGGTGGGTTCTTCTGGTTATTTTGATTGCTGGGCAGTTTTGTCCAAGATGAAGTAACTTCTTATCCCTCAATACTTTTGACTAGAGAATTTGGTTCACTTGATGTGCTCTGTAGACGTTCCGTAGAGGCAGAGACAGGAATCGAATTGCCCAGTGGCGAAGGGAATGGGCAGTGCTGCTGTTGCTTAGTTACCATGAGCATTTTAATAATTCTTCCAAGGAAAGCCCAATGGAAGCCATTCAATTCTATTTTAAATTCATCCCTTGAATAATTGTATGCCTAATAATCTTTGACTTTCTGTTGTCAATTTGAATACACTGTATTCAAAGTGTGTCACAGGGAACTGGGCTAAAAAGCAGCCTCTAGATGGATAAGACAGCTTCCCTTTGGCCAAGCTGTTGCTGCTGCTGTTTTTTTTTTTTTTTTTGATGGTACAGGGGATTGAACTCAGCTTTGTGTTTGCTATATAAGCTCTGTACCACTTGAGCAATACTCCCAGTCCTTTTGCTTTTTCAGAATTGCTTTCATGCTTTTGCCTGACCAACTTTGCCCAGTGATCTTCCTGTCTCTTCCTTCTGAGAAGCTGAGACTACAGGTGTGTAGCACTGTGCCTGGCTTTTCTTTAAGATGGGGGTCTTGCTAACTTTTGCCCCGGCTGGCCTCAAACCATGGTCCTTCTATCTCTGCCTTTCAAATAGGTAGGAATATACGTGTGGAAATCATTTATGGCCTGTAATCTCAGTTACTCAGAAAGCAGAGGTCAGAGGGTGATAGTCCAAGGTTGGCCTGGCCAAAGCAATAAATTACAACAAAAAAGGGTGGAGATGTGGTTCAAGTGGTAGAATGCTTATCTAGCAAATGTGAGACCCTGAGTTCAATCCCCAGTACCGCCAACAAAAAAAGAAAAAAGAAAAAAAAGCCGTTGAGGAGGTACAATGAGGCACTGACTCACTCACTTTCCAGCAGCACCACTGTGAACCAAGGCCCCTTGTCCTCATCTTCACTGCTCTAGGTTCCCATCGTCTTTACTCAGCATGGTGTAGTGGAACCCAGGCTGCGAACTGAAGTAAAGCCCATGACATCACTGGAGTACGCCTGGGATGAGCCCACCCTGCCCCCCT